CCAAGTCCTGGTCCAGCAGACCAGGCTAAACCAAACTGTCTTCTCCTACCGGGCAGGATTGTATTTGGAGCTTCTGATGGCCATTCCCATCTCAGAATTGGGAAAAAAATACAGGAAATAAGTTATGTAAAAGAAGACAACTTTGGATAAAGATGGAAACCCATAAAGTTTTAATGAAGTGGCTCTGTTCGAGCCATTCATCCACTTCACTCTTCAGTGGCATAATATCTACAGGGTTTGGGCAGGCAATTAACTAAAAAACAGGCACCCGAGGGAGACTTCAGTGAGCCTGAGTAACTGGGATTAGAGAGGATAAGCGAGAAGGTAGGGTGATGGGGAGAGCATCTTTGAAGAATTCTTTGTAGAAATTTTAATTGCAGGCAGTAGAAAATGCCTCTGCGGGGTTATTCTTTCCAGATAGCAAAGGTGATGCAATGGTAGAGAAAGGAAATGGGGATTTTTTTTTCAGTGAACTGCAGGAAATCTTCCCAGCAGCTGCTATTCACCTGTCAGCAAAGGAGGAATTAAAGAACAAAGAGCTGAGCTCCCAACAAAAGTACTGAAATCAACAATCTACCGGAGGGGGAAAAAAGGGATTCCCACTGAAGTGACAACATTTTTCAACACTAAGGCTAAAGAGCAGGCACCATTGTGAGACAGCTGAACAGGGTCTGTCAAAACGCGGTATGTGGATATTCTGTCAAGTGAAATTCAGTGGAAGCAAACGCAAGTTAACATGCTGTTCCTTCATACAAATGGCTTTCGAGAGAGCTGTAATCCCATGGGGAAAAAAGGTCTTCAGACTTTCGCACAGCTCTAGAAATCTGAGCTTGGGAAGGACTGGCGAGGTGAGTTAACCCTCTGCTGCCATGGAAATGGCTTGTCTTGTGTATTTTCTAACGAGCGAGCTGGAATCATTGTTCTTTCTAGTGGGATGTTATGTCCTGGCCTGTTTGAGAACCTCGGGTCTGATTTACAATGGCTGGCACGTTCAGGTCCTGTCCTTTGACAGACTTGATCGCTATGATTTTATATCTTAGTTGTCTGCACTGTTCCTATTGGTCTTGAACGCCCCCCAAGTCAGCCACACTTTAAAATGTGTCTTTACTTAACTAACTAAACCCTCCTGACCAATTATTTGCTGTAGTTGCTCCTCTTGGGCTCAATCTGATGCCACCTTTCCAATACAGATGTGCCTGGAATAAAGATACCGTAACGGGGTGGTTCACAGGGCTCTGCTGCTGAAGAAGTCCTTCATTTAGCACTTAAAATGCTCTACGTCTTTAGTGGCTGCCTTGTACACTGTTCATGGGATAAGAATGTGAGATTTCTACTGGCAGAATGTTTACTACAGGTGAGTCTTATCAGGTCTGACAGGTTCATCCTCCAAGTTGTCTTGGTTTTGTACAGCTGGTGCTCAGTGTCTCAATTCTCAGTGCTTCTCTGCTGCCCTGTCTTGGTGTAAAGTCTAGCCCGGCTTGCTGTCCCCTGCATTCATTAAGCCCCTTTGAAAATACTGCTTTAAAAATTCCTCTCTTCCATGAAAAGTATTTTGTGCCTCCCAAGGTTTGTATTATTTGTCCTGGCTGACTCACAGCAGTACCTGGTACCTGGAACCCCTAACTCGTGGTCCTCAGTGATCGGCCAAAGAATGCCTGTATGTAACCGTAATGCTCGGTCCTGTGTTCACGGACACCGACGCTGTCGGTCTCTCTCTCATATTCACCATCCTTCCCTGCAGTCTCCTATTCCCTACGTTAATAATGACCTTAGGAGAGAAAGCAACATGTTGACTTCAACATCTCTAAACCTTGATTTTAAAATAAAACCAAAAACCCAAACCAAACCCTTTCTGGGATGAAACCTTATTTTTTCTATCACGTAACTAGCATAATCGCTGCCATTCCCTCACGCACAAAGGTCCTGCACGTACACAACAGACCAATTTCCAGGCTCTGCTGCAGCAATCATCCTCACAGTGTGGCGAGTTTACCACAGTACCTACAGTCGCATTAGCAGGAGCTTCTCTAAGCTGACTTCTATATACTTCCTATGGACTCAGATTCCCAAGCGGCGTAGCTTAGACCCTCCAAGTTTTTTCTTATGAACAGGTAAAAGTTGTTCACTAACTAGCTTCAGGAAATAATTTGTTTCGTGAATTGCATACTTAGTATTTCAAATGAGAGTAGCCTCATTAGTTTTAGAGTGGCTAACAGAATACTTGCAGGTTATAAACTCTGTTGTAGAACGGGAACCTTAAATGCATTTTCCAGTGCAAATACCTGCTGGCGTTAGCTCCAGCGTGCTGTCTCTGAACACGCGCCCTTTGCTGGTTCAGACTTTCCTTTCATTGACAAATGTTATTGCAATTCTGCTGGTACAATAGCTGTGGAAAGCAAATCACACGTGCAAGTAATAGCAAAATGAATTCCATTTATTCTTTGACAGACTACTGGTAGGAAAAAGATGCCTGGCTCTAAGTTTAGCTACCACTGCTAAAGGAATTCCAGTGATGACGTCTGTTCAGAGTACAATGCAGGCAAAAAGCAAGAAAGCTGAATGTTCTGAAACGGGAGAAGGTGTATGACGGCATTGCATAAATCTGATAATCCTCACTTGCAGCCAAGTGATCAGTTCTGACCATTTATTTCTCAAAACACAAAAATCCTCTCAACTGAAGACAGGGATAAGGCTTGCATATAATTGATAACAGTGTGAAACTCTTTAATTCACTAAGAGAAAAGCAATAGAAGACAGGCCTGAGGTATTCAATGACGGTAAACAGAAGACTAGCTGAAATAACCTATTTACCTTTTCTATGTTAGAGAACAAGAAGGCACTCGTTGAACTTCGAAAGGCAACATTTTACAGTGGAGAAAAGGAAGTACTGCATTTAACTCGGGGAGATCATTGCCACAGGATATTGCTGAGGTAAATAAATCTTATATTACATTTTGATACAAAAGTATTATTTGCAGCATTGCTGGCTAACCTAAAACAACTGATCTATGTTTTGGAGAATCAGTGGATCACTAAACAGTCATTCTGGGAAGAATTACTAAGCTAAATTAAAAATAAAATTCTTGAGTAAAATGGAAGGGGGACAAGCCTATGAACAAATGAGGCACGGCAAATGTCACGCTGTGGGATCAATGGCTCAGCAGAAAGTAATATGCACTGACTGAAATGGATGTACTCTGGGGAGATGAGGGAGGAGAGCATCTGGCTTCACTGAAGGAGCTGAGATAACAGAGTAGAGGTAGATTTTGCCCTTTCTAGATTTATGAAGAACAATATTGACAGATTTCCTGCTTTACATTGGCCTACAACGGTTCCTCCATGCTGAGGTTTGAAGATCTGCGTGTCTATATTCATAAACATGCACCAACATACAGCAAGATCGACCTCCGTATGTTACCAGCTGCAGCACGAGTGTCCAGGAAAATGAGGAGACGATACAGATGCTAGATGACGTCAGCAGCTGGCTGCCACTTACCAGTGTAACCCTTCCACCCTCCGTAGGCAGGCAGTCCACGGAAGAATTTAAGAGGTGAGGCAGGGAGCAGGGGAAGCAGGATTTTAACTTCAGGAGACAAAGCTCAAGAAGGGGAGAACAAAAAGGCCAGTGGAACCCAATCCTAAGTGAAAGGCTGACTGCAAGCCCAAATCCTCAGCATTCGTTAGAACTATTAGTGTTGGGGAAAACGCTTCAAATACACTGATAGTGTGTAGGTGAAGCTGGGACCAATTTTTCCTCCTGATTCCTGGATGTTATCACCCTAGGACTGAGGTAAAAATGTATCTCTTGAGACTGCTTCCTAGATAAGCCAAAAGGGTACTGACCTCACTGAACTGTTGTGGTTAAAAAAAACAAACTAGAAACTCAGACTCTGTTCCTCATCTCAAGGGAACCTGCCGAGCGGGGGCCTGCAGCCTGTTCTCATCCATGCCTGGTACGACAGTACTCAGTGCTGCCGGCCCCGAGCTTTTTCACATGCTTTGGTTTCCACAACAGATGCACGATCCGTTTGCCTGTGGGAGATATTTAAAAGGGCTCTAACCATACACCACAAAAACAAGCTAAGCTGTGAGAGCTGCTCCATCCCCTTGACACGTGGGTAGCCAGAGAGAAAACGCAGGAAGCTGCTGCCTACAGCGGCAGAGGCTGAAGTGGTCCAAAAAGCAGTGTATTTCCCCATGGGGGAAGAACATGATAAGTGAAGAGAAATCAGTGCAACCTGACTTCGTTGTGTAAACAGTGTTCTAGCTACACCAGATATAAAACCAGTGTATTCTGGTGCCTCCTATTTTTGTAATGGCGGAAACAGATCTGTGTTGTGTAAACAATGTTCACTGTAATGAGTTTAACCTAATGGCTCCGCAAAGAAGGATGAGGTGATGTCTCTGAATTCACTATGTAAACGGTCTTGTTGCTTAACACTGATGTGGAGTAAGCTGTATTCGGTCGAGTAAGCCGTATTGGGTGATGGGATGAGAGGTAGTGGGGAAGGACAGCCTCTTCCCTGTTGGCTTCATACAGAGTGGGTATCTTGACTTCTCCTCCTTCTCCATGTGGAGGTGTTGGCTGTTTTGCCAGAACGGCAGTGTGGTAACATGAAATGGAAGCTGGACTCTTCAAAAGTTTAGCCCAAGATGAAAGAGTCTCACCTCCTTCTCAGGGACAGTCCCTTCCCAAAGAGGAACATAGCTCCAGGATCTCAGGGAAGGTCAGTGCTAAGCGCGGCTCCTGATTCACAGATTAAAAATTAGATAAAATATATCCAGTCTATTAGCTGAAATCTTTTCGCTGTACAGGACTGGGACTTGCACGGGGCTTCTGCTGTTCCAGTCTACAAGTGCTCCCTCCAGAGATCAGAAACCTCCTGTCTGAAACAGCTTTGCAAAGCTTTCACACCCCAAAGGGAAGTAAGAGTTGTGCGTTTTTAAGGCTCTCCACAGAAGGGTGACTGAAAGGTCTGTTCTCCAGTGCTATTTTCAGCTTATTGGAATGCCTGGTGGAAACGTGGCAGTGTGGTTGTGCTCAAGCTGGAGGTGAAGACAGGGGGCAATGAATGAAGGGGCCCAAAGTTCAGCGAGGCCCCAGCTCCAGGAGATTCTTGAGGTTGATGTTGCAAAGTGGTAAGCAGTGGCTGTGTCTCCCCCTGTGAGTAGCCCATGACCAATCCCCCTGACGATACAGGTGGATTGCAAGGAGGAAGATTTAGGGGGAGAAAGCCAAGAAGATGAGAAAAGTCCATGTTAGCAGCACAGAGAGCCTCTGAAAGGTTAGCAGGGCTCTTGGAAAGCAAAGCCTCATCCAGTGGGGGTGGCTGAGGTGAAGAGGACTGAGGCTCACCAGATGAGAGAGACAGGCTGCCAGGGAAGTCTGACAAAAAGCTGTCCACCTCTACTTTGGGTAGTTTCTCAGGCAAATATGAGGTAGATCCAAGCTGATACTTTGGAGGAGGTTGTGGCGGGGAGGAGATGGGAGAAGAAGACTCCAGAGGATAGCTCATTCCCATTGGAAGAGAATTAGGGACCAAAGAATGGGGCATCCCTGAGCTTGGCATGGTTTGGAGATGTGTGCTGTACATGCCCACAGGCAACATGCCAGGGAAGCTCTTACCACCTATCATGTCTCTGGATGCCATACACAGGACAGGACTCAGCTCTTCTTTCACTGCGACAGATGAGCTACAGCTTAAGAGACCCAGCATGTCAACCGGCTCCGTCTTAACCTTCAGCAGTTCCTGGGAGTGGCTTTTCTTCATGTGCCTGGTCAGATGATCTTTCCGCCCAAACCTCTGAGCACAGTACTGGCACAAGAAGTCCTTCCGCCCCGTGTGCACTACCAAGTGTCTCCGCACATCTTTCCGGGTGTAGAAACGCCTATCACAGTGGTCACACGGATGCTTCTTTTCTTTCGCTCCACCAGAAGCCCGCCTAGAATGAGCTTTGAGGTGCTCCAGCAGGACTTGGGTACTTTCAAACGTCTGGAGGCATACCTTGCAGCTGAGATCACCACTGGCAGCTGCGTGCATGGCCAGATGTCGCCGGAAGCCGAGTTTCGTGTTGTAGTTCTTGCCACACTCGGGACAGTGGAGGGCCTCCTTGTTGGGATCATGGGTCTGGAGGTGGTTGCGAAGGTGATCTTTCCGGTGAAACATCTTCTCGCAGTACATACACTGATGAGGCTTCTGAGCAGAGTGCGTGGCCATATGCCTTTTGGGAGAAAAGCAGGAAAGTTTAGACTAGCGTCCAACCCCTAAGAGAACACAGACTACTTTTTCAAATTTTTCCTTGTGTTCGACACTTTATGCCACAAAACTCCCAGATGGCATTTTACCGCCATTAAACGGTGTGCACAGAAGCACAACATTTCAAGCAACAGCTACAGAGGCTATCTCAGCAGTGCTCATCCTCCCCAGAACGCATCGCCTCCACATGTATACTTCAGCCATCTACTCAGCTCCTGTTCTCTCTGCCGAGGCTATCAAAGGAGGAAATGACAAAGAAAACCATGGCAGTTTATGACAAGAAATGCTCGTCTGCTCGTGAGACGGCTTCATTTCATCAGGAGACATCAGACCGTGGCAATGTCTGTTGACAGCCACTGTGGCCTGATTTCACCTTGGTATCTTACACTCCCTGACACCATGGTTCATCCAGTTTCAAGTTCCTAGTGATCACATCGTTTAATTATTCTCTGCTATATTTCAGTACATAAATAGGAACTCTACTTCTTCATGCTAGAACAAAAGCTGCCATAGAAATATTCCTGTGATTAAAGTTAGAAGTAGGGCTTATGAAATGTGAATGCTATTCTTGCTTTTCAGTTTGTTTTTCAATCTGTGAACCTCATTTTCTGCTTCAATTTCCTCCTTAGTAAAACAGAAAACAGCTTGAGCTCAGGATAAAGTATTATCTGAGGTTCTCTGGAAGGTGCTTAAAGAGATGCCAACTACGGTAACATCTGGGACTTAACTGCTTTGCAAGGTAACAAGGGCATTCCCCCTCCTCCACCTTCTCAGAAATTCAAGTAAAAAAACACGATGGAAGGGGTTTTCCCCTCCCTTCTGGTAGGGGAGCACTGTTAGGCAGAGGCACGCAGCAGTTACCTACCTATATAGCTTGTACTTAGAAGCAAAGGCTTTGCCACAGTGCAGCTGAGGGCAGTTGTATGGTCTCTGCTCAGTATGAGAAAGTGTGTGAGTTCTCAGCTTGTCCACATTACTGAAGGAAGTCTCCGATATTTCACATTGGCATTTTCCCTGACTTTCGGTCTCTTCACCTCTTGGTCTGGGGACTAATTTCCAGCCTGTCTCTTCCTCCTCCTGCTTTGCATCTTGAATCCAGTTGGGAACGCTGGGAAAAAATGCCGTCATGGCAGGTCTAGTAGAACATGGCCATGTCAAGCAGAACTCGAGCCTGCAGGCGTCTTGCCGTGATGTTGTCCTGGCGCAGTTTTCTGCTGGAACTCTCTGTGACCAAATTGCTTTATCAGCAAAACATCTTCACCTGAAATCACAGAAGGGTTGGTGTTAAAGACACTGCATCTTTTGCCCGTGCACACAAACATGTGTGAGCATTCAACAAGCATTATAAACGTGTGAAGATGCGTGTTCACAGACATGAGAAACTCCCATCTCCAGAATACGTTTCATTCTTTCCTCCCTTAACCCGTTACCTGAATAAAATTATGTTAAACTTTTTCTGAATTACATTTTTGCAACTATTAAGAGCCAGTGTTACCTGTTACATGCATTTTCTCCTCAAATATTGTAGACAGGTGTCTCTTTGTAGCTCTAAATACCTCGCCTTTCCCCATGTGTTTTGTGGATTGCTTCTCATCCCCTTTTTTCATGTTCTTCATAGTCTATTCTCACTTGCTTTTCATCTTTGCTTATGTGGAATTCCTTTCTAGAGCTTCTCAAAGAAACTAAGGTTCTCTTGTTTGGTTTTTTTTTTTTCCATCCACTTTGCTACCAACCTGGTGCACTAATAAGACCATCTCCTAGCAAACCAATCTGAATTACCACACATGGGTCAACAGGGCTGAGGAAGAAAACTTGCCATTATCAGCAACTTCATGCCTTTTTCAGGAAGGCAACAGATGCTGCTTCTCTTCAGACTGTGATTAGTTAGTGTATTTTCACTTTTCTACTGTGGGGCAAATTCTGCCTCTCTGGATTAGCAAGTTTTCTACAGTAATGAGCAATTTTAATTTTTTTTTTTATTATTTTGACACACTCATCCATTGATAATGTTTCCTGTTCAACAAAACATACCTCCCATATGCTCTGCTGGCTTTCACATTGATGAAAATCTAAATTAATCTCTCTTAGCAGGTTGTTCTTGAGTTGTGTTTGTCTTGTTGGTAAAGTACTGCATTTTTATATGGTTCTACCAATACCTAAACTGGTAAACGGTTACCTGAAACAAAAACCTCAGAAAAGATCTCTTTCACTGAATTTAGCTGCCTAAGAAACTCTTCTTAAAATAGCATCAAACCCTCAAGCTCTTTCTCACTCCATGATTGCTTCAGAGGGAGGAACTTCCTGCCGGCACATCAACACCAGTGCCAGTTGTGGGCAGGATGTGCAACTACGAGGGAACTAACCAACCCCCATTAAGAAAGTGCACCACTGAACGTTATGAATAGCTGAAATAACAATAACTGTAACTACACCATTGCTCACTATACCATGAATGGTTCCCTCAGGATGGAAAATACTGGGAAATTGGACGACTCCAAGAGGTTTGGAAACGTCCATTAAGAACAGAATCCAGTTTTGTGCAGGCTGAATCTACTCGGGCAGAGCAGAACAATAAAGGACTAGAACTGCTGAGGTGCCACTTCGGTACAACCCAGCGTGATGTGATGGCTGCTCCTGCCCCTCAGGGTGCAGGATTCCTGCAGTTCAGAGCAGTCCTTCTTTGTAGGTGTCTAAGACGGTGAATATTTCACCTCTGTACGAGATGTGTGCCGGAAGAGATAAATGTTCTCTACCTCCTGCTTCAGAGCTGTGCACACGTTCCGGGAGTCTCTGCCACTTTCGCCAGGTAGTTGCTTCTTTCCCTCTGAACAAGCTCAGCCATCTGTGCCAGTTTCAAAGCTACCTGAAGGAAGACAAGAGTTTGAATTTTGCTGTCTTTAATAGTAAGGCGCATAAGCTATCGCCTTCAGAGCAGAAACCCAAATGCAAAAGAGCTAAGATATGGTAATCTGGAATTGATTATTGTAAAATTTCATCAACTTTCCCTTAAAATTGTAAGGATCTAGCAAGAAAAAGGACTCTACCTATTTGAGTCTGTTTCTAAGTCTAAATGCATGTCCTAGGAAAAACTGACAGCTGTGGAGTAAGAACGAAAAAACCAAGATAAGGGTCTTGCATAGTACCAGTGAAACACAGTAGCTATGGAAGGTTAACAACATAATTCATGCTTGGCTAGAAAATTCTCTGTGTGATCTAGATATTTGCATTTTTTAAAAAATGAATTAGTTTTCTTAGTAACATTTCCCCAAAGAACATTTCCAACGTGCTCCCTGTTCACTATAACTCTGTAGCCACCAGAGAGAAACGGTCACTGCTGCGTGGAAACACTTCACCTCTGCTTCTTCAGAGAACATCTTGTACATCGCCAGCTCTGGCAAACCTGGTTATCTTAGAAAGTTTTGTACTAGTCCTGGCTGCCAACTTATATGAAATATTTCATTACTGCAGTCATCAGATTTGTGCAAATTCAAGCTAGAAGAGCTCATATAAGCTGATGGATCATATGCTAGGTATGAGATTCCAGCCACTTGCCATTGTACAGAAAACAATGAGGTATGTCTGAGTTGGTACATCGCACAAAGAAGCTCTTGGGCTTCACAGAAAGTCCCTGGAAGAGGGTGCGCCACCTGCTTAGACAGTTTGTCCCACTGTTTAATTCTTCTCAAAGCATGGTTCAATGATACAGCATTTCTGCACCGTTTCTGCCCCTCAAAGTCACTCCTGTGACACGGAGCACCATTCCTCAGCTGTGCGGGAAAACCTTGTGACCTAGGCTGGGAACAAGATTGGGGAACCACCCAGGTTAAAAATAATCAGGAAAAAACAAAAAGGATGAGTGCTCTGAGCGGACCAACAGCAAAGCTGTGCTGACCTGGCCAGAGCGGGTATGCAGCAGCAGTGGGAGGCAGGGACATGGGGCCTGGCAGGCCGCCTGACCGGCCCCAGCATTGTGGAGCTATGGTTTCCCTTTCCTAATTGGCATCTCTTGCGTCTGATTTGTATTTAGCTGTCCTTGGCTTCTACCTGCTGAGTCCCACCGTGCCTTTGCTAAGGACCTGCTCCAGTACTGGCACTTTCCTTCCTGCAGGGACAGAGAAGTTGGCCTAGGGACTCCTGCGTCCCCTTAGTCCTCACTACCTGCTTCTGCACTGCACTGGCCCAGCTGTTTTACAGCTCCACAGCGGTGTGGCCAAAGGAACTTATCCAGCTGAAAAGTAACTTTTTAAATTTTTTCCTCCCCCAGCTAGATCAGTCCCTTGCTCAGGTTTGCCAAGCTATATGAAATTGTTAAAGCTTACACTTGCTCAAGAAGAAGGTACCAGCTACGCGGCAGAAAGCAGAAGCTAGAATCCATGGTGGGCCCTCAGTCTCTGCCCGGTGCCGTGCCTCAAACCGAGCTTCTGCAGCAATTCCAGCTGCGGTGTCAGGCCTGGTACTGGCCTGGCCAGGGCATGGGTGCACTCATTCTTTTACTGACTTTCCTGCACGACAACCAGTGACTATAACACCTTAGGCTGCTGCAGCAGCATCCCTCAGAGCAGGTCTTTCAAAGACCCCATGCAGTGTAACAAAATCACCCCCTACTTTTCTTTATGGTGTTCTGATTAAGTCCAGCTCCGACCCCTGACTGCAGGGCTCTGCTTCAGGACCTCAGATCACTTTGTGACTTTTCTACATCCTCTGCCATTTTCCAATATCACTTTTTTAATTATAAGGGAGGAAAAGTGGATACCAGGCCTAGATGCACAGTACCAGCCTTGCCAACGCCACACCTGGATGTAAAAATCACTCTCCCACCTCCTTACACATCTTGCATTGACCCTTTTTTTACAGTTTTCCTACAGTTAAAAAAACACCAACTCACATGTCATTATGATTCCTGGATTTCCTCTATGAAAACCATTATTTTATTGCAGTAAGTGATTCTGGCCGTTTCTAGATATGTAGGTTTTTACAACCAAACAGGCTTATTTTTCTAGTTGAGCTGCTCAAGCCTCAGTATCAGTCTCCCCCATTTGATCACTCACAGACTTTGGAAAAACTCTGCGTAAAATTGCATTTACTTTTAAAGCCCAGGGAAAAGCTGCTGCACCTTTCCCATAGGATGTAACCGGACACACCATTCCCGCAGGATGACTTTCCCGTCTCACCGAGCTCCTCTTTCACCCTCCGCCTCCTCTGACACGACAACAAGCGGGATTTTAAAAGACCAAACTCCTTCCCTGCACCACCGGGAAAGCCCCAAACGCCAACACGGCTCCGGGATGACTTATTTATGCTACCAAAAAACCGCTTTTTTTCACCCACTCAGCCCCAAAGCGGCTGCAAAGCCCCCAGGACAGAGTGCGGCCGTGCTGGTTACAACCGCGGTGCGAACGGTGGAACCGCACCGGGCAGCTCAGGGGCCCTCCCAGCAACTCCTCCAGTTGGACCGGGAGGGAAACGGGAAGCGTCCCCCGCCGGGGCAAGGGTCCGTGGATGCGACCGGGCCGGTGCCAGGGAAAGCACA